CAAGTTCCTTATCTTGGTCAATACCTGTTATAGCTTAAGAAGAAACATCAGCAATGAATGAAGAAAACATGACGAAACTCATACCGTGTTGACTTTTTTGTACCTTAATTCGAATAATCTTGAATCAGAAGGAACAAAAGTAATTATTAACAGTTTTATTTCATTTATCGTACTTTTTTTTTGTAAAATTTTTTTTTTTTGATGCTCTAATGTTTATTTCTTCTTTAGATTCAAAAATTGAGATATTTTAGGATAGTACTGTCGAGAATATTTCTATATATATCAAATTGTAGATTCGTGTAATATACCACATTCTAGAATAAGATTTACTAAATTTTATATAAATATTAACATTTTTTGCATTTTTCACATGCTAAAATTAAAAAAAATTAAACTATAGTGAACCTTTAAAAAGCCAAGAAATTCAGAGTAAGTAATTTCATAATCGGTCAATGTTTTCTCAGATTCATTTTTAGAGTTTACAAAGCTACAAAAATATGGTTTTTTTTTAAGTTACTAAGACTTTAAATCTTTTAATACTAGAAATACCAGTACTTTGTTCTTAGAAAAAGCGAATAATCACCTAAATTTTATATAATTACTACCAGCTCCAAGCTTTCTTATTTACTAGCAAAATACATGAAGTTTTTTTTTTTCAAAAAAATTTTTTTTTAATCTTTGAAAACTATCTAATTTTTACATCGTTAATACTATGTTTCACACTTTTTTTATTGTAGCAATAGTTATTTTAATATTATATACACTCTAATAGTCACTATTGTTGTGTAGTTTTTTGTTTGATTAGGGAAAGTGTTTGGAAATCGATCTTTTGTTTTTTTATTATTGTTATAAGAAAACTTACAAGTATGTAATAAGTTTACTTTTTCATTATAATCTACTTATCTAAATTTATTATTATTATTATTATTATTAGTAGAATCTAATTAGCACCAACAGCATAAATGACGGCTAGCATATGAATTACCTTGTGCTCTGGCTACTGTGGTTTTATTACACAAAGGTTCTGGGTTGTTGGAATGTAAAACTAAGAGGTTGCAAACAATAAGGCATGTGGATAGTAAATTAGCAAAAGAGCGTCTTTCATTGTATAATAGTTTTTTTCCTGAATTAGTTTCGATTCAAACACATTTAGAAGACTTTTCTTTGTATGAAAAACATTATAACCAACTTATTATATCTGATTTTTTGCGTCAAATGCTTTTAAATTCGAATTATTCACAAACTCGTACAATGCATGCGTCTGGAATAGAAGCTAAAAAAAATACTTGTGAAATTGGCATTCAGGTTGATAATAATATCAATCTAAAAGTTAATAAAGAAACCTGTGATATTGGTATACAAGTATTTGATAATACGTTGCATACTCCTGAAAGTTATATCTATTTACTTCAAGCGCAATTAGACATGAAAATAAATGAGATAGGAAGCCTTAAAAAACAATTAGAATATGCATATGACTATGTAATAGAAAGCTGGAGACGAATTCAAGAAATAAATAAAATAAACCAAGAGCTATCCAAACAAAATAATGCATTAAAATGTAAATAGGAAAATCGTTATAATAATCAAAAAAAAAAAATTGACTCGATAATTCAAATTGCAAACTACAAACGCCAGAATGTTTATAACAATATCGAGTCATTAATCTTAAATAAACAACGATTTTTTCTTGACAATTTATTAAATTTTATACCCGAAAATTGGTTAGCTAATTGTAACCCCATCATTGTTAACTTCATTAATACCCTTACTCATAACGATAATAATGATTATACTAATTATACCTCAAATAAAAAGGTTTTTAAAAGAATGGTTGCTATCGATGCAGTATATGGGTCAAGATATAAACATTATGTATCAGAAATAAATCTAGTCGTATCAGAGATTAAATATTCGTTAGCACAATCTAAAACAATTGTTGATATCGACAATTATATAATTAGTTCTGGGGATTATACAAAATTCATTAATTGGCTAGAGTCTTTAGCAGTTGAAAATGAACCTTTACCTAAAGGGCTATTGTTTTTGGCCTTCGACAATAAACAATGAGGTCAATATAATTATCTCGATTGCGGACATAATACTGTTATATACCATACGGTTACGAGTTTTGTTAAGTTAAATATGAATAAAAATAATTATGCGTAGTTCATGACCACTCCTTGGCTTTGTAATTCACTAACAAATCAACAATATAAAGAATTATATTATGTTATACCAGAAATGAGGGCAGAACATAAACTCAAATTAAATATATACTTATCATCAATTTTAAAAGACCTTATCACTGAAAAAAATGAACAAATAAATTCTATCAATCTTGCTATAACAAATCAAAAAGGCATCAGGAGTCAATCTAAATGGTGCAAAAAATGCAACACAACATAGATAATAAAAATATAATCACCCTTAGTATAATGAGAAATTGGATATGTTGGTTACTTTACAAGCAGAATTGGCTAATGAAATTAATGATATGCCTCAATCAAAATCTCTTATAATAAGGTCTTATACACAAGCTTATGAAAAAAGAGTTTATTTTTCAAGTATATTAGTATTACACAATAATTATAACCAGAATATAATGTAATCGTTCCAGAAATACATATACCAGATCTATTAGAACTTAATTCTAATTCAGTAAATGAGTGCGTGAGAATGAAAACCTGTAACTGATCATAGTAAATCATTATAAATCAGTTCCAGGTTTTTATTCTCACGCACTCAAATAATATTAGAAAAATTTTTGAATATATACAAAATATTGTGAAAATAGGACAAGAAATGTAAAAATGGTTACTAGTTATTTGTGATAGTGTTTTATATAATCTAGCTCAAAAGATTAAGAAAGACTTTTCATAGCTTATACTGATTCCTAAGGCCTTGCACGAAGAAATGAATATACTCAAAGCACTCATAAAATTAAATTGGTATAATTTTTTTTTGTTGATATAGTAAGATAAATCATACCTTTTATTAAAGAATTACAGTAGTCTGTTATTCTGATTTAATATATTTACTTTAAGAAAAATTGATATCAAATAGTTCACGATTTTTCAAGGATACAGAACCGAAAACCAACTTAAATTTTTTAAAAAATACGTGGACCATTACAAGTTGTAGGACTCTATTTGCAATATTTATCGACATGCTGTGACATGTAAATTATTATAGCTATACATAGTTGCAAGCGAAAACCCTTTAGTTGACAGCTATCTAGATTGGGCAAAAAAGCAAAATGATTATATATATAAACTAAAATTTGAACAAATAAGATTTTTAATAATAATTGAAATATATCTAAAGTTCTTAGCTAACAATTATTATAGACTTTTATTTATCTTCAAGCAATCATTGACTTTTATATAGAATCAGAAACAATCAGCTTTTGTTAGTAAATGCTGCTCGATATATATTTGTACCAATATAGTCTGGGTGTAGATATCCCATATATTATTTAATTGAAATAACTTATAAGAAGCAATTGATGTGATTAAATTCTGAGATTAGACGATATATAAACTTATATTCAGTTGTTTCACAATCAGATTATTATAATCAGCATTAAGGCCTTGATGCTATTCTTAAAGAAATCATTATATTATTGAAAGCTTTAATTCCACCTATATCTTTGCAAAAATATTAGAGAGTAGTGGCACATAATTGTACAAAGTTCATTAAGATAGATACTATAAATTTGTACTTAAACAAAGAGTATTTATACTTATATAATTTCAAATAATTATTAATTGCATCATACATTATTTAATATAATTGAGTATATAGATAATAAATCGTCAAGAGGTCAAACACATTCAGATTATATCTTAGAATTACAATGATTTCAAGTTCAATTATAAAGACTAGATTTCTGAGTCTTCAAGATAGCAATTGCGTATTTAAAAGCCTCAGAGAGGAGTATTTACTTAGTGAGAAATTGAAAAATTTTAGTGATTTAGCATGTAAAAGACGAATAACATTTATCAATAAAACTTTTATAAACAACAAGCCAAGTTTCTTACCTTGGTCAATACCTGTTATAGCTCAAGAAGAAACATCAGCAATAAATGAAAAAAACATGACAAAAAAGAGCTTTTAACAATTATTGACTTATTGTTAAATTCCATTAATATCTCAAACCATCCAAAGTATTGTGAATTGTAGCAAAAAACTTGTAATTAATTGCAAAAGATTTTGCAAAGTATTAGAGATCTTCATAATGACCAAGGGCTTAAAAATGAGATAGAGCCAGAAAATTAACAATTTATTGTTAACCTTGATATTTTGCAACTACCCAAAATTATACTAACAATTATTACTTTAGTGAACTTTAGGAATCAACAACAATTTATCTTTGTCTTCAACAGTTTCAAAACTATTCGAGTATATAAAATTGTTTTCTAATATTACCGTTTTCTAAATATTAAAAATTTTTTTGTAATTCAATTATTACATATTACTATATTACAATAGTATATACAATTTTACTTGATATCTGATATCTATATATTGTAGTAAGCATTAACTTTATTAATGATTATTGTGGCTGAAGCTCGAAATAGCTGAAGCTTGAATTTGGAATTTTGATTTAAAAATACAAACCTTACCAAACTCCATTTATATATTTTAATTATCAAAACTAACTCTAAATCTTAAACTAACTATAAAGAAAAAAGTTAAATAAATACAACCCAAAATTCTTTAAAAATTTCATATTAAAGTAATTAAAATTTTAAGCTTCAGCCATTTCAAGCTTTAGTCATGATAATGATTATACTTTCAAGTTCAAATATATCATCGACTTTTGACAAGAGTAGTAAGTTCGAGATACATTTATTCCCAAGCCATAAAGAGAGTTCTGATAAGATAGTAAACTGGATTACTTAATATTTTCGAAAATAATTACATTTTTTTAGATCAAACTACAAAATTACATAGCTATTAAAAAGGCAAAGCAAAATAAAAACTGCTGTTTAGAACTTATTCTATAATACAATAAAATTTTCTTAAATTCATCCTCTATAAGTGTATATACTTTCTAAATGCATGCTTAAATTTGGGTTTAAATATATATATGATCCTATAAATACACTTTTCTTATTGTTCTCTAAATGCATACCAGTAAAGTTCAGCCCAAAAGTGTGTACTTATAGAGGTTTCATTATACAATTTTCTGCTTTTGTGTTTTATGACAATGCCTCCAAAAGAAAATCCTCATGTTTCTATTCATAGAGGTTTGAAATTAGAGATATTTTTGCTATTAAAAACTCAGAAATGAAAGTACAGAAGTGATATATTCTTTTTTCAAATATTATATTTATATAAAAAAATTTGTAGCCAATCAGACTTAATTTCATTTATTAGTTCTAGAAAATTTCTATACGATTGCATAGCAATAGTCATTACTATATTTGGAAATACTATATATAGAAAAATCCTAACTGTAGTAAGAAAAAAAGTTTTAGATATAATCTCTCCATATTTACTAATTAAAGAATTTATATATAATTTATATATAAATCTTGTATAACTTGTATCATATAGCTTTTCAGATGACTAGTGAATCATCTATTAAAAGAAATATTATTAAATATTAGACCTCTCTTAGAAGATAAAAAACAAAGATTCAGACAGCTTCTAAAAGAATTTGTAGATCTATTCATATCAAATATTAATAAACTAGAATAAACTAATTTAGTTACTCATAGAATTTTTACTGAAAATATATTTTCTATAAATTTATAACTCTATTTAATATCTTCAAGTAAACAAGTATTTGTTAAAGAAAAAATTTAACAAATATTAGATAATAAACTAATATAGTTAATACTATCTAAATATATACTGTATACTATATAAATATATAATTTTTTAAAAAAATTTAATAATAATATATATTTAAACAATAAATTTTCTAGTATTTGATTGATTAATACTGTCTAAATATATAAAATTAATTTTTTTATATTTACTAATAGTATATATTTAGACAATATTAACTTTATAACTATTAAATAGCCTCTAGACTTTTCTAATTGTATTAGTATAAAAGAAGAATAATAAATTATGCTTATGTATTGACTACAAAAGGCTAAATAGTATAACTAAAAAAGATGTTTACTCATTATTTCAAATTGATAAGTTGTTAAATACTCTTATTAGATTTTGTTAGTTGTTTATACTAAATCTTGCTAGTAAATATTAGCAAGTAATGATATATCTTAAAAACTAAAAAAAGACTATATTTGTTACTTACTATAGAATATATGAGTTCAATATTATACTCTTTAAACTTTGTAATACTTCTGCAATCTTACAATATTTAATAGATAAAGTTTATAGCAAAATAGTATAAAGATTTGTAGTAATATGCTTAAATGATACTATTGTATTCTTCAAGACTTTTGATAAATATTTATATTATCTATAAAAAGTTTTTACTAGGATTAAATATGCTAAACTATGATTAAATATTGAGAAATATAATTTTTTAAATTCAAAAATTACTATTTCTAGAATATATTTTATCTTTTAAAGGAATTACCCTAAATTCTTAAAAAATTAAAACTGTTCAACAAATTTTATCTTCTAAGAGCATAATCCAATTATGATTATTTCTAAAACTAGTAAAATATTATTAACAATTTATTTTTAATTTTTTGCTATTACAAAGTCTTTAAATTAGCTACTTTAGAAAGATAAACTTTATAAATAGACTGAACCTCAACAAGACTCTTTTATTAAACTAAAGCAAAAACTTATTAGTACTTCTATTTTTAGCTACTAAGATATTAGAAAAATATTTATACTAGCAACTAATGCTTCATATTATAGATTTGGTGCTATTTTTAGTCAACTTAATATTTATAATAAGAAATACTTAGTAGTAAATACTAGTAAGAGCCTAAAGAAAGAAAAACTAAACTACAGTATAACTAAACTAGAATATACTGCTATAGTATAGGCTATTAAATATTTTTATAAATATTTTGGCATTGCCAAGTTTATTTTAATTACTAACTACTATACTCTCAAATAGCTATATACTACTAAGTCAAAAAGAAAACTAGACTAATAAATATTTAAGTTATAGCCTTATAACTTTAAGATTATTGATAATACAAATTACTAACTCTTCTTGATGATCACTTGTACCAAACTTTTTTTGAAAACACTTGCTATTTATTAAAATTTTTATTAAGTAAACCACTTTTGGTTACCTAAGTAAAGTTGTTCTACTCTTAATTTTATTTATAAATAGTTTAGTTTTATAGCTTTAAAGTCTTTTATTGCAGAGCTACTACTATATTTCTAAATTTTGTCTTTTTTAGTTTATTTAAAATTTTATTAAATAAACTTTTATTGCTTCTTAATAAAAAAAGATTAAGCTCAATAGTAGCTTTATTTTAATATATAATATATTTTAAATAGACAAAAATTATATATTTTATAACTAAAATACTTCAAAACTCTATTACAAAAACTGTATTTTAATTTTTGTTAAAAAATTTTATTTTTAGAGATTTTGTCTTTCTAGAATGCTCTAACTTGCAGATCCTTTTTACTAATCAAGATTATTAATCAATTTATATAACTTAGCTTCTTGTTATATCTATTTTTATATAAAAACCAGACCTACCTTTTTGGTTTTAATTAATTTACACAAATTTTGTCTTCTGTTGATCATGTCAATCTGTTTATCGTGATACTGGGTTACACCTTATTTGTTATACCCTTTATTTGTTATATCCTCTTATTTGTTACACTCTCTTTATTTGTTATATTCTTTTATTTGTCACACACCTTTACTATTCTTTCACTAGCATTATACCAACTCTAACTTTATCTGAAAAACCAGATTCCTATGATATAGATTATTATTATTCTAAATACCAAGACCATTTTGGTATTGGTATGAATAAAAACAGACCTAACTCACTTAAGTCCTTCTATCTTGCTTTAAATCTAAAAACTATGATGTTCAAAAAATTATACTATTTTCAAGTACCAACACAACCTACTATTAGAATATATTATTGCAAAAAATATTATATAAGCTTTACCTTCCAATACTACAGACTTTTCTAGTTAACTATAGTTAATCAACCTCAATCTTAAACTACTTTTTCAATCTCTAAAAATCAATTTAAAAAAATCACTAAGGAATTATCTGCTTCTCCAATTATTAAAACACATGACCAATCTGAACTATCTCATATTAATCCAAGAATACTATTTCCAAACTTTCAAACTAACAAAACTTCTATAGCTATTGTTTCTTATTTTCAACATTATTATATATGCTTTATCTGCAAAATCAAAAATATCCCTTGTATAGCTACAGAACAAAATAGCTATGCTTCAGATTACTCAGTAGCTTGTATCTTTAAAAATACTGCTTTGCTTCACAGAGATTGTGCTCTATTTATCTATAATATTAAACTTAAACCAATTATTTCTAAGCCTATTCTAATGACACTCAAACAAAAATCTATAATTATTTTCTTAAGATTTAACAAATGTTTGCCATAGACAAAAGAATTACATTCTTTAAATTTATTAACAAAATCAAATAAAACCAACAAACTTCTAACAAGGAATCTAAAACAATTAACAAAACCAAGAACAGAATCAAAATCAAAAAGAAAAACAATCAGATAACCAACTTAATGATGATAAACAGGAATAGAAACAGGATCAAAAATATCAACAAAAACAAGAACAAGAATCTAAACAAAAGCGTGATACTTCTAATAATCTTGATTAGTTCTAAAAATATCTAATTATTGAAACTATAAAACTCTATACTAGATTTGATAATACACTCGCACATCAACTATTTGAATTCTTTAAACCTCATCTTGTTGACATTTATCCTGGCAAGATTATCAAATCTGCAACTGAATACTCAAAAAAACTTAAATTTATATATTCCTACTTAATTAAAAAAATGACTAAACTAAAATCTCAATTCTTATTAACTTTATTCACAAGAATCTTCCTGATATTAACAAAAATATTTCTATTCTCTTTGATATTCTTCACTCTACACTTGAAGGATTACTCAAAGAATTTACCAAGACTCTCTTTATTGAATTTGACTACTCCAAGATCTTTTCTTTCTACAACTCTATTTCATCTTACTCTATTGCTAACTGAAATCTAGTAGCTCTAAATCTTGCACAATTATATCTTATCCTTAATGAAAAATATACAACTATCAATACAAAAAAATTTTGTGAAGACCTAAATATATGCTTTATCAAACTTTAACTTTATTATTATATTAGCAAAGATGCTCTTCACCAACCACTTTTTAAAGTACAAAATGACAATTTATTTAATATTAATATCTTCTTAAACATACCCAAATATTATTTTCTCGAGACTTTTAAATTCCTTCTCTAAAAAATCACTTACCAGAATTTGACAAATAGTTTGACAAGTTCTTTAATATTTATAAATGCCAATTTTCTAAAATTGACAAGAAAAAGTCAAAAACTATATCAAACATCAAATTGTACTCAAACTAGCCAATACATGTTGTTGGCCTTTAAGAAAAGCTATTTTGGCTCATATTTCTGCAACCACTAGTCCAATCAAGATAAAACAACTACCATTTGAATCAGCTCATTGAGATGAATCTAAAAGTGGTAAGATCATCTAAATCTAATCACAAAAAGCCGAAATCAGACCAAAAATGTGATTTGATCAAATATACTATATGTAGATCACATGTGTGCAACCTAATTGGCTGATGATCAACTGCGTGAAATGTCTTATATGTAGCATATCTATTACATGTCATTTTTATAGCATCTATATTATTTATTTTACATATTATATATATATTATTTGTCTTATATATAGTATCTGTATTATGTATATTATATATCTTATTAGTACTATTTGTAATATTTGTAGCATAGGTACTAGATATAGACCATTACATTTCTAAAAAATTGAAAAGTATTGAGTTCGACATTGTATCTTCATACACTTTCAATAATAAAATATCTTTTGGAACCAAAATTCTAAACAGTTACTAGTATCTTTATATACTTTTAATTGTTGTCTCTTTTGTAAATACAAATTGCCTTAAATCTTCTTTATTAAGTTTTGTAAAAACTCCATACTGACTTAGTTAAAATACAGTAACTCGAGATATTACACAAAGTATTCACTGGCTACAGTCGCTCTAGTTATCTATTATCTTTAAGAAGTGGATATAGAATAACAATGTAAAGTACTCTTACCTGAAAAATTCTCTATTACATATATTAGTTCTCTAT